GGAACCAAGAGATTTTTCATTCTTTTCTTTTCTATCCCATAAGAATTTGAACAAAAGTTGAGAGTTGATACATTCTGACCTTTGCATATCTTGGTCTTAGGTGACAGGTGTGTGAGATCAATACCAAAGTACTGCAGTGTGTAACTTACACACTTGACCATCAGTTTACTCAACTATAGAGTAACTACAGAGTAAGGGGATTGGACTAGATAACCTCTCATTGAAATGGATGTGAGTCTGGACTCAGAGTTCCTTGGTTCTGACCCTAGCTCTGCTAATTCCTGCCTGTGTGACCTTAGGCTGGTCATTTAACTTCTTGGAGCCTCAGTTTTCTCATCTGTAAAGTTGGTTAGGGAAGACGTTGGACTAGATGACCTTTAAGATGTCTTCTGCCTCAAAACTATAATCCTACGAGGCTATGAGTCTGTAATCTGGTCGTTTTATGGCATGGTTTCTGGCCCCCAAAGTCTAAGCCTTGGGTGCCATCTTGTGGCAAGAAAGAATATAGACTTACGTATGGACTGAAAATGTTACAAAGGACCTTAGAGGTCATAGGATCACAGATTTGGGTCCCAGGAGTCATCTAGGGAATGTAATGATGAGGGGATGTCAGCCCGAAGGAGTTAAGTGACTAGCTCAGGATCACCCAGGAAGTAAGCAACAGCAGCAGCATTTGAAACCAGATCTTGAAATGCCCTTTCCAGCAGGGCAGTACTCTACTCTCAAGAGTCACATCTCTAACATCCCGACACCCAGCTATCTAACATCTGCATGGGCATTTCCACTGATGGGAAGCTCAGTCCCTCGCCTTGTCGGGAATCCTGAATCATTAGAAAGTACCACTGTGGGATGAGCTGAAGCATGCCTTCCTGTGACTTGTACTGATGAGTCCTACTTCTGCTCTCTGGAATCACACCCCTCCCAACACCAAAAAAAAAAAAAGATCCCTACTCTTTCTAGATAATGGCACCTACCTTACAGCGTGGTGGTGAGGATCAAATGGGATGACATATGTAAAATGCTTCAATGCGAGATAATGTTAACTTGTTACCCCCAAGTGCCAATCCCCTCCCTTAGAGCTACCTTGTATTTATCCACTTTGTGTGTATATTATTTGTTCTTTTCATATTTATTGTGCATTTATAAGTGTACATATGTGGGAAGACAAGTATATATATATATATATATATGTGTGTGTGAGTGTGTGTGTGTGTGTGTGTGTGTGTGTGTGTGTGTGTGTGTGTACTTGCCTTCCCCCATTGTAGTAAATATAAGCTCTTTGTGAGTAGGAATTGCTTCATTCTTAGTACTTGTATTCCCAGGCTTAGCACAGTGCCTGGAACATATAAGGGCCTTAGTAAATATTTGTTGATTGATTAAGTGCCTTATTAAGTGACTGAGGAGGAATAGGAAGGTGAGCCCAGCACTCTATCTATATCCCATTCCTGTCCGGAATTTCCTGTACCATGGTGTTGGCACCTCGGCTGACAGTTCTCCATTGACAGTGAGGCCTGTTTGCCTAAGGAACTCACTCTTCTGTTTACCTGGGTTTATTCACTAATCCCCTCAGCAAAGGAAAGCCCCCAGTTGGGTGTACTTCTAGCTACTTAGCTAATTCCCTGCTTCCCTGTGCCTACTGACTTGACTTGTGCTTGGCCAGTAGTTTTTGTAAACCCCTATAAAAAGAAACTTGGATACTTCCACCCTTTGCATCTTCTTTCTGATGTCAAACAGAAGAGGTCAGAGGGGATTGGCTGAATAATTCAGAGTACAGGAATGCAGTGGCAAAAAATGAAAGTGATGATTTCAGAGAAACCCAAGACTCTACGCGTTTGTAATGGATTTTGTTTTTCTTTTCTCAATTGGGATGGGGGTGGAGACAGTTAGGAGGGAAATAAGGTAGATGTTAAACTTTCATTTATTGAAAAAAATGCAGTATGGAGAAGAAAAAAACCGATGACCCTTAATACCTTCTGCCTCCTTTTCCAACACTTTGCTACCATCACTACAGAATCAGTAAGTAGATGCAGAGTACTAAAAGCCATTTGTTTCTGAGTTGCTGTGGCCAAAGAATTCATACCCTGCTAACTAACCTCCTGATGACGAGCCTTTCCACACCTGCCTAGGCTTGTCCTTGGATAGGCAGTGAAATGTAGTACTGGGACCAGAAGAAATTATAGGGGAAAAGATAGATGGCATTAATTATATAAACTAAAGATTCTTTGCACAACATCAAAAAATAAAAGAAAGGAAAAGGCTGGAAAATACACTGGAAAAAATTATAGTAAAAGATGGACATAAAAATTCTATGGAATGGTCAAAAGAGACAGAATGGCATAATTGATAGAAAGTTGACCTCAGAGTTGGGACCATCTTACATTAGTGGTAAAGCTGGAAATTCTTGTAATCTTTTTTTAAAGCCATATGGCATTATAGGAGTACATTAGAGCAGCTAGGTGGTACAGTAGATAGAACACCAGGCCTGCAGTCAGGAAGACCTGCATTCAAATATGGCCTCAGATGCTTATTAGCTGTGTGACCCTGGACAAGTCACTTAACCCTGTTTGTCTCAGTTTCCTCATCTATAAAATGAGCTGGAGAAGAAAATGGCAAACCACTCCTGTATCTCTGCCGAAGAAACCCCAAATGGGGTCATGAAGAGTTGGACACAACTGAAAAATTATTGAACATTATATAATAAGAGCTATAAAACATATTTTCTATATGATCTGATTATTTAACCACAAGAACTATAGACTCAGGATGTTATTGGCATTGGGAACATTTTTTTAAAAATCGATTCACAACAGCAAAAAATACTAGAAACCCACAATATATTGTTCCATAATTGGTGACTGGCTAAATGAAATGTGGCAGAGGAACATAATAAACCATTGTTTCAACATAAGAACTGAAACATACAAAGAAAGCAGAAAGTATGAGAGGATCATGTGAGGTGATGCACACTGGAGAAATTAAAATATCAATGAGATACCCAATGGATAAAATGATTTAAATGATGTGACTGTGACAGCAGCTCATCTCAGGAACTATACAGAAGAAAAACATCAGAGAAGGACATGGGCACACATAGGACTTTTCATTACTTGGTTGTCAAAATGAATATACACTTAAAAAAACAGAATAACAGAATGACTGCTTCATGTACAAGTTTTTTTGTAATTCTTGTGTATGCAAGTGTTTACTGACGAGCCCACATGAATTGTTATTAACTATAGATGAAGTTATATGCCTGTGGACGTGAGGGCTCAAGGGGGAGGGGAGCATGAGAACTCATCTGATACTAAAAGAGGATTTGGAGACAATCATTAGATTTGTTCTGCCGAGCCCTAGAACCAGGAATGAGGTAGAGACAGGCTTAATGGAAGGAGAGAATTCCTAATAGTAAGAGAATCCCTAAAGGGAGATGTGCTGCATTGGAAAGGAGGGGTAGACTCGAGTCCCCATTCATTGGAGGTCTTTATCCTAAAATGGAAAGACTAGTTTTCAGTGATGACATAAAGAGAATTGGGGAGAGTAGGAGACATGCTCAGGCATTGGCTGAATTGAGAGGCAGTGTGATATAGTGTGTAGAGAGCTGGTCTTGGAGCTAAGAAGGTCTGAGTTCAAGTTTATGCTCTGAGATATCCTGTGACTCTGGTACTCTAGGCAACTCTCAGGCCTATAAGTTGCAGAAAAGGTGCCAGCTTTCACTGGGGAAGGGGAATTTTCTCACCTGTAAGGAAAATAACATTGAACTTATAGGTCTGGTCCCTGTGCTCATTGGTGGAGTAGCTGAGCTCTAAGATTCTAGAATGATCTTATATTTCTTACTCTTAAAATCCTAACTCTCTGGGTAATTCCCCTCCTTTGTTTCCCAATGATTATGCCATTGGAAACTACATGGCAGGAAATAATGGAAATAACTGGACTTCACACTTGAATTAGCTCAATCATAGTGATTATACAACCTTCTAGACCTCACATTCCAGGTCATTTCTATATTTAAAAAAATACTGTACATTTTCAAAAGGGATATATGAGCTAGATGGTTAAAGAATATGAACCAGCAGCTTTCAAAGAAAGAAATCCAAACTATCGATAACCATATGAAAAAATGCTCCACATCACTAGTAATTAGAGAAATGCAAATTAAAGCAATTCTCTTCTACCTTATATCCACCATACTAGCACTGTCAATTCCAAACAGTGGAAAATGACACGTTGAAAGGGCTACAGGTAAAAGGACACAAGCACACTAGTGGTAGAAGTGAGGATTAGTCTAGCCGTTCTGGAAACAGTTGTGAACTAAAGCCCCAAAGTTATTAAGCTATTCAACTGCATATACTCTTGGCCCAATATGCTACTATTATGCTTATAATGCAAAAAGGTCAACAAAAGAGGACAAGAACCCAAATGTACAAAAATATTTACAGCAGCTCTTTTTATAGCAACAAGACCTGGGAAGTAAGGAGGTTCACATCAATAGGGGAATGGCTTAATAAGTTTTATAATATTATAGAATGTTATCATGTCACAAGAAATGTTGAAAGAGAAGGTGTTGGAGAAATCTGGAAAGACTTTTATGAATGGATGCAGAGAAAAGCAAGCAGAACCAGGAAAAGAATTTGTTTAATAATGATGTTGTAAAACTAAAACTTTGAGACACTTGAGATCTCTGATCAATGCAATGACCACCTTAGCGCCAAAGGACCAATGATGAAACATGCCCCGCCACCCATCTTTTGACGGAGAGGTGATGGACTTAGGGTAATGAACAACACTTTATTTGGACATTACCAAAGCAGGAATTTATTTCACTTGACTATATATATTTGTTATAAAGATTCCATTTTTTCTTTTTCAATGAGGAGAATGGGGGAAGGAGAAAAATGGTAGATTTCTTTTAATTAAAAAAATAAAACTTAATTTAAAATGAAGTCAAACAGACATACTTTGATTTAGTTTAAAAGCTGGGTAATTTCTTTTTCTCTTTCTAGATTTCACTCCATCATGGCTAGAATCACTCGGGAAAATAGGTTACCTACAAAATTAGACAGAAGCTTAATACAATCCATCAAAAATGCACAGATCTGCACACCAGGTAAATGGAATCCAATCTAACTTGTTGTATGTAGGACTTATGGAACTAACACACCCAAAGAGAAATTGAGAGGTGGCCACTCACCATCCTGTTTGGCCTCCTCTAGATCCTGACCAGTTGGTTTATGTTCTTCCCAAAATGCAACCCCAAGAAGTGTTCCAAGAACACAATATCATAGATGTTGTTTGACCATGGTAGAGTCCAGGGGCACTATGATCTTGATCTGTCTACTGGGCCTCTCTTAACAAAGCTTAAAACGGCATTGATTTTTTTGGCTTCTGTGTCATACTTGTGTGCTTATACTAAACCTGCTAGAACCCCCTAGATCTTTCTTTCACTGTTGCCAAACCTTTCCTATCGTATACTCAGGGAATTGATTTTTAAAAATGTAAGGCTCAAATGTAAGGCTTTAACATTACTTCTAAAATCACATCTTGTTAAATTCAGCACATCTTTTTTTTCAGCCAAAGACAAGGTTTATTAAAGAGCCACCATATTGGCCAGACTCTTGAAGAATCTGAAAGTCTATGAGATATTGGCTAGATTTTAAGACTCTGAGCAGTGGCTAGATTTTGGAAATCTGAGCCAAAATTCAGCACATCTTTAAAATAACTCTTGGGATTCTGACTTTTTATTCCAATGTGATCTTTCCCAGTTTTGTGTCATCTGCAAATTTGATCTTCATTAAAAATATTGATGAAATGTTGAACAGTCCAAGGCTAAGGACAAATCCTTGAACCATTCCAGCAGAGATGTCTTTACAAGTTAGCATTGACCTATTAACAATAACTCTTTGGGTTTAATCATTCACATGGTTATGAATTCACATAGTCATAATACTGTAACAGCCATAAAAATACCACCTGTGATTTCATTATCCTTAGCAATTCTGTACCTTTCCTCTATTGGTATCATTGGTGCCCCTTCGAATCACCCTAAGTAGGTCATTTGATTTAACAAGTCTTGGGAGGTACTTTGCTGAGTCTTGGATTCATGCTGTAAAAAGACAGAAGACTTTTCTATTTCTATAGAATATCAGGAAAGAACTGCCTCATTCCTCTTCTGTGGGGAGGGACCAATCACCACAACTTTTATCTCTTTCCTGTGACTGGGGCGACCCAAGGGTGACCTCTAGATCTCTGGCCACAGAACATCCAAGGTAGAAGGGACTTCAAAGTTCATCTAGTGTGGTCCATACCTTACCAAGAATTGTCTTACAAACATACTTGGCAAATAGTTATCTAACATTTGCTTGAAGACTTTCAATGACCTTCAAAGACCCTCACTAGCCCTTGAGGCATTCTATTCTATTTTTGACTCCAAATCCAATGTCCTTTCCCCTATACCATGTTAGGAAGTGCTTCTTATAAGCAAACCTTAATTTGCCTTTTTACGAGTACATAGATCTAACAGGAAGTAATCTCAAAGTCTGTTTAGTCTAAGCTTCCCCTATAACTTTACAGATGAAGAAACTGAGGCCCAGGGTGGTTAAGTCTAATCCCTTAACCCTACCTGAAGGCAGCTCTCTTGCCTTCTCCAGCACTGAACACAAGAGGAACTAGGGAGCAAGAAAAGAAAGGCCCCTGGACTAGCAGGTCTAAGGTGGGCTGGCTTCCCCTGATGTTCTGAAATGCTTCACCAGGGATACCATGGTCCAGGTAGCAGAGAGAAACATACTGCCATTGCCCCATTTCCTAAGGCCATTGCTGCCATCTGCTGGTGTCTGCAAAACATGACATTTCTAATCATCGCAGTGAGGAGTGCAAAGGATTGTACAGAGATAGATGCGTCCTCTCTACTTCCGGCAGCCTCTAGTCCCTAGGCAGAGCCCCCAGCTCAACACTCCCTGTTTCTCAGAGGCAATGTTGAGGCATGTGAGGAACTTACGCACGCATCATTTGTTACCTCAGTGTTACTTAGTATTTTTTCACCAGAGAGGTATTCTTGAGAAATTGCATAACAATTCATTATTTAGAAATCCAAATGATACCATAATTCTCCAGAACAGCCCACTTTAAGGAAATCTTGTGCTGAATAATTTTGGAGATCAAATAACTGAAGACTTAGATGGAGAATATTTGTAGAGCTGACTAGAGTTGGATGCAGATATAATAATGGACGTAATAGAATATTATGTATCTATTAGCTGTTATTATTCTCTGGATCTCAGCATTTGGCAGGGTCTTTCATATTTTTCTTGCATAGTAAATGTTAGGTATGTTGTTGCAAATGCAGAATTCACCTATGTAGAATCAGAAATTGCTTGTTGTTTGATTAAAATAGTTCAGACCCAAAGAGTAAATGTTAAAGAGTTGATGTCGATTCGAACTTCAGTGGAATGCATTAAAGATCTATGCTTGGTCCTGCGCTGTTCAGCTTTTTTTTTTTTTAGCAATGACATGGATTAAGGCATAGATCAGTCAGTCAGTCAATACTCATTTATTAAGCACCTACTATATGCCAGGCAGTGTACCAAGCTCTGGGATACAAAGAAAAGCAAAAGACAGTCCATGCCCTTGAGGAGCTCCCAACCTAATGCCATATTTGGCATGCTTATCTAATTTTAAGACGATTCAAAGCTACAAGAGATAGTTAAGACATTGCATAATACTGTCAGAATCCAAAAAGGTCTTGCCTGATTAGAACACTGGTCAAATTTAACAGTTTGAAATTAAATAGAGATAAATGCATTTTAACAGTTCTCATATATAGAAGGTTTAGATTTTATCTATTTGGCTCCAGAAGGCAAAACTAGAAGCGACAGATACTAATTGAAGAGTCAGATTTCTTCCTGATATATTGAAAAGTCATTAGACCTGCATGAAAACTGCACAAACTGTCTTGAGAAGTGGTGGATTCTACTGAAGAATTCAAGTGGAGGCTGGCTGTCCTATCAGGGAAGTCGGAGAAGACCTTCCTTTTCTCTGACAGAATAGAAAACTACAAATGAATGCCTCAGCCTTTTGGGTCACATGAACGACAGGATGGCCAACTAGACATTTCCCCCCATCTATCAAAACTCTCCAAGATAGAAGTTATGCACCAGGGATAAACAACTTCAGCCAGCCCTCTGGCCTGGGAGACCACGAATCTGAAAGAGACCTTGGGAACTGACACTCATGGACTCTGTGTTAGCTCATCACCCCCCCACCACCACCATCTCCCATCCTACTGGCAGCAAGGCCACATTAGCAAGCCCAAGGACGTGGCACAGGCTTACAACAAAGCTCAGCCCTACACCATAATCCCTCATCAGGCTTTCCAGTGCCATGGAGACCCCAGATCCAGGCTGCAGAAGTTTGCTTAGGTCTTGAAGACCAGCTTGACCACAGTCCTTCAGGATCAAGAGCCTTTGCGGGGCTGTCATCTGGAAGTACCAGTGCTGCAAGGCTCTGAACAGACAATACTGGGGAAACAAGGCTCTGAATTGCTGGTGCCAGGCCAGAGAACTAAAGTATAGTGAGAGTTGGTCAGGTCACCAGGATTAGGATGCTGTGCATGTGGGGAGCTGTACAGGCCTGCCCCAAGCCTGAGGGAAGAGCACAGCATGTAGCTGGAACCACTCTTGACCATGCAAAAGTCATTTGGGGCAGAGACCTAGGCTGGTCAACCGTAAATTGTCCAGTGTGGGAAGATGTTAAGACACTTTGCAGTCCAGGTCTTCCCTCCCCACCCCCACCCAAAAAAAATCAGAAAGGAAAGGTCAGGAAATGAGTGATAAGGAGACTCAGGGAGAAAAAATACTCAAAGTACAAAAGATTTCAGGATAAAGGAAACAAAAGACTTTGAACACAAACAAACAAATCAACAAGAAAAACACTAACATCAGGAAATATGGTCTCAAGATCTAATAAATGAGGGCAGCTAGGTGGCGTAGTGCATCGAGCAATGGCCCTAGATTCAGGAGGACCTGAGCTCAAATCCTTCCTCAGACACACAACACTTACTAGCCTAGCTGTGTGACCCTGGGCAAGTCACTTAACCCCATTGCCTAACCAAAACAATAATAATAATAATAATAATAATAATAATAATAATAATAATAATAATAATATAAATGAGTTCAGGCATCTCTGAATAAATACTGCAAAATGGAGGGAAATAATCCAATACTTGATAAGACAGAAGACCCTGTGGAATTTGAGGAAGATATGTAACCACAACACACTGTCTCTGAGTAATTTAAAAGATAAATGAGAATTATAAGAGCAGAATGTATGTCCTATGTAGGAAAAGAAAGAAAGAAAGAAAGAAAGAAAGAAAGAAAGAAAGAAAGAAAGAAAGAAAGAAAGAAAGAAAGAAAGAAAGAAAGAAAGAAAGAAAGAAAGAAAGAAAGGAAGGAAGGAAGGAAGGAAGGAAGGAAGAAGGAAGAAAGAAAGAAAGAAAGAAAGAAAGAAAGAAAGAAAGAAAGAAAGAAAGAAAGAAAGAAAGAAAGAGAGAAAAAGAAAAAGAAAGAAAGAAAGAGAAAAAAGAAAAGAAAAAGGAGCAAAATAGAAAAATTTGAATCTGCTGCAGTGGAAAGCCTCACAAAAGAAACAAAAGAGAGAACAATAGTTTGGTAATGCAAATGCACAGAAATGAAAGACAGAAAAATAAAAGCAAAAAAAAAAAAAAGAAACATTAAAGCAAAATATGCTCACTATACAAAAAAAAAAAAACAAAACACCAAACTCAAAAACAGGGTGTGTAAAGACAACCTAAGGATCTTAGGTCTCCCATAAAAATATGGCAGGACAAAAAACAATAACACCATAATGAAAGAAAGAAGAGGTGAGAACTACCCAGAACTTCCAAATATATAAAATAAAATTCTAATTGAAGAACTTTGCAGATCTCCTCCAGAAAAATCCCAAGGTTGCAAATTCCAAAACACATAGTAATTTAAAATTTCTATTTAGAAACAAGTTCTGGGGCAGCTAGGTGGATAGAGCACCAGCCCTGGAGTCAGGAGGACCTGAGTTCAAATCTGGCCTCAGACACATAATACTTCCTAGCTGTGT